GCAGCTCTGAAAAGTGAACAAGGAACGCTGACCAGCATTGAGTCTCACACCGAGACTATTCCCAAAAGGAAACTGTCATCAATAGGAATACAAGTTGATTGCATTCAGCCAGTGCCAAAAGAGGAGCCCAGTCCCGCTACCAAATTCCAGTCCATCGGGGTTCAGGTAGAGGACGACTGGCGAAGCAGCGCCCCCTCTCACAGTATGTCCTCCTGACGGGACACTGACTCGGATACCCAGGATGCTAATGACTCAAGCTGTAAGTCTTCTGAGAGGAGTCTCCCAGACTGTACCTCACACACTAACTCCATCAGCATCGATGCTGGCCCCCGGCAGGCCCCCAAGATTGCCCAAATCAAGCGCAACCTCTCCTATGGAGACAACAGTGACCCTGCCCTGGAGGCGTCCTCACTGCCTCCACCAGACCCCTGGCTTGAGACAACCTCCAGCTCCCCAGCAGAGCCAGCACAGCCTGGGGCCTGCCGCCGAGATGGCTACTGGTTCTTGAAACTACTTCAGGCAGAAACAGAGCGGCTGGAAGGCTGGTGCTGCCAAATGGACAAGGAGACCAAAGAGAACAACCTCTCTGAAGAAGTCTTAGGAAAGGTCCTCAGTGCCGTGGGCAGTGCCCAGCTATTGATGTCCCAGAAATTCCAGCAGTTCCGGGGCCTGTGTGAGCAGAACTTGAACCCTGATGCCAACCCATCCAACAGCCCAGGACCTGGCAGGGTTCTGGGACCTGCTACAGCTATCTATTGAGGACATCAGCATGAAGTTTGATGAACTCTACCACCTCAAGGCCAACAGCTGGCAGCTGGTGGAGACCCCCGAGAAGAGGAAGGAAGAGAAGAAACCACCCCCTCCAGTCCCAAAGAAGCCAGCCAAATCCAAGCCGGCAGTGAGCCGAGACAAGGCCTCAGATGCAGGGGACAAGCAGCGTCAGGAAGCCCGCAAGAGACTCCTGGCAGCCAAGCGGGCAGCTTCTGTGCGGCAGAACTCAGCCACAGAGAGTGCAGACAGCATCGAGATTTATGTCCCTGAGGCCCAGACCAGGCTCTGAGACCATGGAGAAGGAAGGAAACAGTTTTAAACAATTAAAAAACAAAGAAAACAATGCAGACAGAACAAAATTTTATCAACTGTATGGTTATTCTCTCTAGAGACCCTGAGCCAATTTCAAATTGATGCATACAAGGGCTCACAATTTGGCTTTTTTGGGTCCCTCTCAGCTTTAGGTTATGAAGACTTCACATTAAAAAACCATCAACAAAACTAGAAAACTTTTTTTTCCCTCTTGCTGGCCGTGGTGGACTAGATAGATGGACTTCAGCAACGCCCCGGCCCAGCCTCAGACTGTGGTCTTTTTACTTGTTCTATCTAATGAGAACTTAAACTAGCTTGTTTACAAGACGACAACAGTCCAAGGGTAGCCTTGGGCACCTGCCATGTTCCTCCTCTTCCCAGCTGCCCTGCTCTGACCTTGGATTTTTCATTCTACATTTTTCTTTTCCCTTCAGAGCTCACACAGGGGTCACCATCAAGGCCAGCGGCTTTCTGGTTCCGTCCTTTTTGTGGCTGAGGGCCCAGAGAACAGCAAGATGGACACGCATCCCCTCCCCCACCAAGTGCTCACACACGCTTGCATGCGTGCACACAGATGGGCTGCCCTCCGCTGGGACCTGCCAATCCTAGGCAGGGTCAGGCAGGACTCCCTCTCAGCAGATGAGCAAGGTGTTGGTCTCAGGAGAAATAAGGTGAAGCCCCAATACCACCCTCCAGTTGCTTTCTTTCCAGCCCCTTCCTTCAGCAGATTTAGGACTATTGGTGGCTTCCAGGGGTTGTCTGTCCTTGGCCTTGCCTATGTCCAGTCCCCGAGGGCAGGTGGCGGTGTGTACGTATGTGTATATATGCACATAGACCTTAGAGTGTATATTTAACAAACGCCCATCTGCTCACCCATGCCCACCAGCGCTGCCGCCACCGGCTCTCGGGCACCTGGCAGGAGTGTGAATAGCATATATTTTTACATGTACTATATCTAGGTGTGTGTACAAGTGTGTGTAAAAATATATACCTTGTGTGTAAGCAGCCTTTTTTTTTGGGGGGGGGGGTCCTTCCCTTCTATTAGCCCAGCCTCTGAGTTTTTGTTTTGTTTTGTTTTTTTTTAATCCAGTCATCCCACCCTGCATCCCCACTCCCATGGTGTCACAAGCCCCGAGCTGCAAAGGCCCAGGTCTGCAGGGCAGGATGGGGAGGACAGGGTAAGGACGGGCAGGCAGACAGCAGGGGCCGTGTGCAACAGAACTCAGCACACGTGGGGCTGCTCTATACTGTGTGTACGATCAAGGGCACTATAGACATCCTCTTGTCTGGTGCGTGCTGCAAGGGTGAACCAAGGGCCTGCTCTGGGGTCCCATTCCAGCTTGGCCGCTGTCTGTGACCTTGGGCAAGTCACTTGACCTCTGTGTGCCTCAACTTCCTCCTCTGTAAAATGGGGACAGTCCCCGCCCTTCCCTACCTCACAGGCATGTTGTGAGAATAAATGAGGTAATGTGTACCATGGAAAAAAATTAAAAAAAAAAAAAAGAAGGCCACCACAGTGGAATTTAATATAAAGAACTACAGTTTAACAGAGCTAAAAACTAAGTGAAAGCCTAACTTAGCTGTATATCTTGTAACAACAGTTTATTGTCAGCCAAACATAGCAGCTGAGCTTCAGTCTATTATAGGTGGATGGATGTTAAAACTGTCCAAATCAGGCAAAACAAAGTTTACCTCATTTTCTCTTTATGACCCTATGAATTTTCCAACCACAAAGCAGACTGAAGTCTCTGAATGTACTCTGGTTCTGAGGGCTACCTCATTTGTACATAATCCTTCACTCAGTTAGAGTCTGTTTAAATTATCTAAAGTTTTTAATGTTGCCTTCAAAGACTTTTTAAGCACAGCAATGAAATCACAGTTAGTACATGTGGTTTCTAGTACTAGTTTGAGAAAATATTATTCTTTCATTTGTCAGGCAGGCAACAGTAGAGGGTTTAGTAGAAATGATGGAAATTTTTTGATGAAGTGGTACAAGTAAACATAAATCAAAGAAAACCAACTTAGAGGTTTTATTACTTTCTCCTCCCACCTTCTTTCACTTTTTATATTTTATTCATATATGTTCACAGTATACTGTGATTATATTACTTATGGGTAGTTGGCACACATAACTAGCATCTTAATTATTTTTCTATTCTTCCACACCTTCCTTCTCTTGATTCCTTTTGCAAAAGATCTGTCTGTCTTTTTCATATTATCTATTTTTATTTTGCTCTGTAGTTTTGCTTCATCATTTCACATAAGAAAAATGATATGCCATTTAATTGTGTCTGGCTTAATTCATTTAACAAATCATCACACATCTAGTACACTAAATTAGAATTATTCTATACGTTTTGGATTCAGAAGTTACACAGTCAAGTTGTGGGCAGGGCTATGTTCGTCTAGAAGCTGTAGGGTAGTGTCCACCTCTGTGCTTCCCAGCACAGGGCTCTTGAATTCCTCAGCATTTGTTCCCTGTCTCAAACCACAGCAATCTCTGCTCCTGTGGTTGCTTTTGTGATTTTGCCCATCCTAAGTCCCTGTAACAAACATCCTGGAACTATGTTGGACCAGTTGAGATAACACTGGATAATTTCTTCCTTTCAAGGTCCTTATCTTACTTACATATGCAAAGTGCCCTATGATATTCAAAAGTAACAGTCATTGGTGCTCAGGATTAAGGCATAAATTACTTGGGGACCCACTATGCAGGCTAGCATAGTATGATATATCATATGATATAGTCAAGATTTCATTGTTTATTTTGCTGGAGGCCTGGTGCATTTGTAGAGCTCATGGCTATTACCTCAGGCATCTTAGGCTCACTGGAAGGCACCTTCAGAACACCATTGCACTGTTGCTGGTGAGATTGTGATCTGGAAAGGATTTGTTTCATCCTGAGCAGGAAGGCCATGCTATTGAACAATTAATGGAATGCCTTCAGTTTTGTCATTGTATCTGTCTTTCATTTATATCTATCTTGCCTCATTTTATAAGCATACATACTTACACACTTTTATTTTCTTAATATGTTTCCTCATGTAGTCTTTATAGGTTATCCTCTTAAATAGGTTGTTATGTTCTTTAGAAGTGGCAGTCTTTTAAAGTCAATCAAAATAGAAGGAAAAATGGAATTAGCTGCAGCATATTTTATATCACATTAATCTGTCACACGTGGAATTCTTATGTTCATGTGGATTTTTCTTTTGTCTGAAAGTATTGTCCTCATCATCAGGGTAAATAAAATGTATACATAGTTACCTAGTGGCAAAGTTAAACTGCTTTTTGTAAAGAATTTTAAGGATTTTTGTTGTTGATTTAATTATATAAGTGCCTCTCTGTCTTCACAGTCAACAAGTATGATGGAAGTAACTAGAAAGAGGCGATGCTCTGTGGCTTTTCCTATCCAATTTCCATGTCATGCTTATTGGCATTCAATTTAACTAGGCAGAAAAATTTTCAACTGGATTGTATTTTTAAAACCATTTTATAGACTTCAATTTACAACACAATAAAGCATTTGTTTCTATTTGTTTCTTCTCTTCTTCTATATTAAAAATTGTAAGTACAGGTAAGGATATAAATAAGCATGAGAAGTGGTATAAGAAGTATGCCTTATTCTATTTAGACTGTTACAATAAAAATTGAAGACTAGGGTAGCTTATAAAAATATTTGTTTAAAATTGTTTTAGAGTTTAGAGGGTCTTAAAACAAAGCCCTCACAAATTTTCTTGCTGAAATTCATATTCACACTCACAGCCTTTTTTCTATGACCCACATGAAAGAAGGGATAGAAAACTCTCAGGGCCTCCTTTTAGGTTACTAATCCCACTCATAAGAAATCAGCCACTCAAAAGGCATAATCTCCTAATCCCATCATTTTGGGGATCATGTTTCAGCATATATGTTTTTAGGGAACACAGACATTACTACCACAGAAAGAATTTGGTGAGCTGTTTAAGGACACTTACACAGAGTACTGATTAGAAACCTTGGGACTGGAAGAACACAACAGGGAACTCATTCAGCAGACACTCAATATAGCAATGAGAGGCCACCTAGGTGGGCCCTTTCCTCTCTCGGGCAGAACAAGCTAGACCACTCCGGGAACACAGAGCAGTGGAGAACCCAGGGAAATGCTTTTCTTCTTTCATCAGAGACTCCTCATTCACAGGGTGCTACTGAAGTTGTTGAAGATACTTGTAAGAGAGTACAATGAGAAGAATGAATTGAAAAGCCTTCCTGACTGCAAGACCTAAGAGACCTGTCCCAGAGATGCCAGTGATCAGAGGGGGTACAAATACAGAAATCCTAAGACCACATTTCATTGTTTTTTGAAGTTCTTTCTGTGTTCTGCCACAACCACTCTTGATGGGGATGAACTTTTGGAATTGAGGCTACCTACCTGAACTAGGAGCAGCAGAGTGTCTGCCAAAAGAGGTGGGCAAATTGCAGACATGGAGGTTTTGTTATGTAGAAGGACTCCCATTAACTGTACACTTCAACCTGCCCTCCTGCACCTAGTCAAGAGATACTGGGTCAGTTGTGCAAAAGGGCATAAACAATGATTTCTAAACAGAAAGCAACACCTAAAGAAGGAGTCCATTTCTCCCCTGGAGAGGAGAGAGGTCATATCCAAATGAACTCTGGGGCTTCTCCTTGGGCAGCATCAGTGAAAAGCATTATTAGGAAGGCCACAAGAGGATCACAAGACCTAAATAATAAATAGGTGAAAATAACACCACAACAGCTCTAAAAGTTGAACTATCAGGGAACCCTCGCCCACAAAGTAGACAATGCTTAGCATTTCATCTAAATAGGATGACTGGCTGCTAAAATAAAAGATTTAAGTAGGACCCAAGGTCTCCTAATACAATATACAACAGATATGGGGTACAATCCAAAAGCACACCAAGAATGAAAAAAAAAACTATAAAGAGACTATCAAGAGACAGTCATGAACGTGAAAAAGAAATAGATACTGAAGCTTTCCAATAATGATTTTCAAGCAGCTGTCATAAGAATTTTCAATAATTAATTCTGTGAAAAATATAATAATCATGCAAAATATAGATCTTGAAACACTAAAATAAAAATTATAGAAAGTAACTGTAGTATTGGAAATTGAAAGGAAACATCACACTCACTATATACACTTAATAATGGCATGGAGCTGACATACATGGACAAATCAGTATAGTTCACATTAAGAAACAAATTTCTTAAGGAAATTAATAATTTTGTCTGTGTTATCTTCTAGTTTTTCTCTAACATCAGTTAGTCATAGGTTGGTCTCATTAGTATTCTCTACTAGCTGCAAGATGATTTCTTATTTATTTATTTTTATTTTTATTTTTTGCCATGCTAGGGATTAAACTCAGGACCCTGTGCTTGCCAGGCAAGTGTTTATTCTACTGAACTATCTCCCAAGCCTGATTTTTTTTCTTTTCTCTTAATATTTTTGTGGCTTCTCTGAGCACTTTGTCACAATTCCCATTATTTTTACAGACAGAATATTTTCCAAATGTAAGAAAAGTGCTCACAATAAGAAAAGGATTTTGGATCACAACAGAACTATGACAAATAAAAGTAACTCATTAACACATATATCATTTAAATTGTCAAATGTCCACTGAGACAACAGATTTATAAAAATAGAGAACTAAACAAAAAAAAACCACAAATCAAGTAAAAACATATGAATCACAGCAAACTTCTGAACCGAAACCCTGAAGGTCAGAAGAACTTGTAATGAAGTCCTTTGGATCCTAAGAGCAAGTAACTTTCAACCCAGATTAACATACATAGATAAATTGCCCTTCAACATCAATGGAGAAATAAGGATATTTTTTTGAAAAAGACTATGTGAAAGGATTAAAGAATACTAAACCAACATGCCACAAAATACTCAAGAATGTTCTAGTCAGAAATGATGAATCCAATGAGAAAAAAAAAAAGGATAGGATCAAAATACCAAGCAAAGTCAAGGAATAAGAGGAAAAAATGAAAAATGAGACAAAAAATAAAACAAAGGAGTCACTAACAGAGAAAATTGTGCAATGAAAGCACTGAATCAATACCATGCCGTAATATCTCTCAATCTTAATGGAATTAATTCTCCAACTAAAGGACACAGATTGGGAGACTAACAACAGATTCCATCAGTCTGTTGCATTCAGAAAGCTCATCTATTTCAAAGTGATATTCATAGTTTTAATATCAAAGAATGGCACAATAATGGCACATGTGATGGGACTTGAAAATAAACAGGAATTATAATTTTAAATAAAGAAAATATATTGTTCAATCTAAAACTGATTAGAAGAGACACAGAAAGTTGTTACATACTAGTTAAGGGAGCAGCCCTACAAGAAGCAGCACTTTTAAGTATGTATGCACCAAATATTGGTATCTTCACAAAACACATACTACTGAACAAAAATGATCAAATAAATACTAACATGGTCATTA